TGATCCTCCAAGTTGTCGCTATAGATGACAATGTCATCCAAGTATACCACTACGAACTTGTCCAAGTAAGGTTGGAAAATCCTATTCATCAATGTGCAAAATGTGGCCGGGGCGTTGGTTAAGCCAAAAGGCATTACCAACCATTCGAATGAGCCATATCGAGTGATGCATGCTGTCTTAGGCTCATCCCCTTCTGCAATCCGTACTTGGTAATATCCCTTTTGTAGGTCTACCTTTGTGTAATATTTTGCACTACCAAGTCTATCAAATAAATCAGCAATCAAAGGAATATGATACTTGTTTTTTAATTGTTACCTTGTTGAGCGCCCGGTAATCTACACACATGCGTAACGATCCATCATGCTTCTTTTGGAACAAGACCAGAGCGCCATAAGGTGCCTTCGAAGGTCGTATCCTCCCCGTGTCAAGCAACTCCGTCAATTGCTTTCGAAGTTCTTCCAGCTCCGGCGGTGCCATCCGATAGAGTGCCATGGATGGTGGTTTGGCACCCGGTTCCAACTCAATCTTATGATCCACCTCCCTCCTAAGTGGTAATTTCTTGGGGAACTCCGGCGGCATCACGTCCTTATTTTCTTCAAGGACATTCTTGATGACTTCGGGCACATTATTGTCACCCACAACTTCCTCAACTTGGTCTTCCATTTTTAATGCTGCCAAATACGTCGCCTCTCCTTTCTTTAGCCCTTTTGCTAGTTGCATGGCCGAAAGCTGCCCTATTGCTTTCGTCCTAGCTACCGTAGGAACCCTGCATGGAGAACCCCTCTCCAAGATGCAAACCAAGCCAAAGGAAGGCATAGGAATAGCATTGACCTTCCTCATGAAGTCCAACCCGAGAACCAAGCGAAAATCATCCATTGTAGCCACCGAAAAATCCACTTGGCCATGCCAAGTGCCTAATTGAATTTCCACTCCTCGAACTATGCCACCAAGGGGCGTGGATGGAGAATTCACAGCTTTCATAAGACCACCACCTTTAGTGATTGTGAGGCCCAACCTTCTAGCCTCATCTTCAGTAATGAAGTTGTTGGTAGCTCCCGTATCCACCATTGCTAGTGCGGCCGACTATTTACTTGAGCTTCCACATACATTAATCCCCGTTCATTATTGGAAGTCGGAACGACCTTAGCATTGAGAGCGTTAAGAAGTTACAATGAACTAAAATGTTCCGCCCTTTGATCTTGGCAAGAGGATGAATCCCGTTCCGCCGCCATAGCCGCCAATGTGTCAAGTTTAGGGCAATCACGCATTAAATGTGGCCCCTTGCACACGAAGCATCCACTTTGAGAACCCGTCGAGGCCTTCTTCTTTTCCTCATAATTTTTTCGCGAGAGGGAAGGTTTGTAAGTGTTACCACCTTTGAAGAATGATGACTTATGGTAATCTTTCTTCTCTCCCCCGCCTTTAGCCGAGTTACTCTTAAAGCTTTTAGAAGATTTTGATGAATCCGTGCTCCTTTGGAACTCGGTTAAAGATTCGACCACCACAATAACCTCGTCTACTGTCTTCACTCCCCGATGTTGAAGTTCTTGCTTCGCCCAATTTTGCAATCCGTCGATAAAGTGAAACAATAGATCTTCATCTGACATGCTCGGGATTTGAAGTACAAGGGTAGTAAACTCTTTGACATAATCGCGAATAGTGCCCTTATGTTTCAACTCCCTAAGCTTTTTACGGGCCTCATATACTACATTTTCGGGATAAAATTGGCGTTTCAATTCCTTCTTGAAATCATCCCAACTATCTATCCTACAAGCATCCGTTTCTATGTCGGCGTGCTTACGTCGCCACCATAGAGCCGCGGTGTCCGTAAGATACATAGTCGAAGTACGTACCTTAATAGCTTCATCCAAAATGTTCACGCCCTCAAAATATATTTCCAATCGCCATAGGAAATCATCTAGCTCTTTTGCATCTCGCTTTCCATCGAACTCCCTAGGCTTTGGATAGTCGATCCTTGGAGCCGCTAGAATCGTGCTAGTACCCGCACTAGTTGACGCCTTCTTACAAGCGTCTAGGCCACTTTGCATATCCGCGCAAAGTTTGTTCACTTGATCTTGGATCACTTTGACAGCATCCATGACCTTACCCTCCAACCTCATATATTCTTCCCTTAAAGCGCTTTGGTCTTCCTTGAGATCATCAAGTTGTTCCAAGGTGTGAGCTTCAAGGGTTGATAGTGAATTCTCCACTGCTTCAATGCGTTCCCCCATATTGAGAAATACTTCCTCAAGAGATCCACCGGTAGGGGCTGGTGGTCAGCTCTTGCTTCGAGTTTGTCGAGTTTTCTTACTCGTGGTTTGGGATTCGACCTCTCGTCCCCGCTCGTCATGTTCTACTTCCGAAATGCCGGATCCCACAACATCTTTTTCCGCCATGTCAACGATAGTAAGTGAGCAAACCTGGCTCTGATACCAACTGTCACGGACTTGCTAATTTCCTCCAAGAACCGTGCGGCCTTAGTGTCTTCAACTTCCGCCCCCGCGGTTATTACACTAAGTCAGCCTCCCGATTGGCGTTGATGTCTTAGAAAGGCACTAAATAGAATACTTTAAGAAAGGGACAATGAAGGAACACAGGAACTTACAAAGAAGGCTTTGTATTGAATAAGGATACTCTTTACAACTTCAATCTCTTAATGTCTTCAAATGAATCCTACCAAACTATTTATAGTAGTAGCCTCCTCAAATGGATGGCTAGGATCTTTTCTATCCAATGGTCTAGATTACACATCTAGAATTTTCTATACAAATATTTACATTAAAATATTTATGGACTAAACTAGGATGATCTAGAATAATCCACCAAGTGAGGAGCTTGTAGGCTTCTAGAATGTCCCACCATATTCTAGCAATCTTCATGCACTTGTGGGAGTCTAGAATATTCCGGTTAGCCTCAAGTCGTCAACATTTTAAATTTCTCGATCTTCTTGTGCCAAAATCGAGCAGTCGTGACAATGTGTTCACTTACCTGATTTTGCTACCTTGACTGATATCTTTTTCTTTGTTGAACCTTACACGGATTAACCGTTTTCCCTCAATATGCCGGCTGACTGCATTGCTAGAATATCACGTAAAGATGGTGCCGTAATTGGATGGATTCTCCTTCCTAATTCCTTTACTTAACTTGCTTGATTTGACTGGATACACATCTCGACGTTCTTCTTGGGACAAAATTGTCTAATCAATTCTTAATGTGCTTTTAGGAAAGGGCTGGTTGCAGCTGGCGAAACAGTATACAATAACTGCCTATCTGAATAGTTTTACATGAGTAATTTTTACATATATATCTAAAATTTTCTTTTAACCCATTTTCAGAATATCGATTTCTTGAATGGCATAGCATGGGATGAAGAAGGAAACTATATTTTTGGTGAGTTCCATCCGTTATGTTCATATTGCTTCTTATTTTATACCTGATGAAATCATTTTTCTGCTGCTCGTTCTAAATACACCAGCTGAGTACAGTGACAGGAAAGCTTTGGCCGAAGCTATATGAGATAAAGCTTCATACTATGAAGACACTATTTAAGGGAGATATTAAACGTCTGTGCATGCCGATGCCAGTCCATTTCAAATAAAACATAGAAGAGAGGTTGTCCACGAAATTATTTATTTCGACTTAAAATTACCGCAAGTGTACGATTCATTAACAAGTAATAAAGTAGAATATTAAGTTCCGAGTATCATCCCACAGAGATCGAGTAATTCATTATTATCTATCTTAGCCTCAACCGAAAAGAATTTGTCAAAACAAGAATTTATTCTTAAAAAACCCCTAATTTAGTAAAACCCTAATTTATGAAAACCCTATTTTCGCTAAATGATTTTATAATGCAAGCTATGTGTTCAAATGAAATTAATCGCAAAATGATTATTGAAATGCAAAATTGATTGTATTCGATGAAATTAGAAAACACTAAGATCACGAATTCCTATGTAACAATCACTTGAAGCCCTAATTTCACAATCTAATAACACAATTTGATTATTGACTACTCAATGCTCATAAGTCTATTCAACACACTCTCTCGAGTAATATTGAAGCTATTCTTATGTATTACCGGTTTATATTTCTATTACAAATGCATATACATAAGAATGCATGGGGTTCTATGAGCAATTAAAGAATCACGCAAGGCATAGAGGTATATATATAATTCCCCTATCAGACCCTACAATGATCTATATCTTGTCTAATTTATCTCCCTTTTCTCGAATGTAAGAAATAAATTAGTACACATCACACAATCGCGTGCACTCAATCATGGATGAAATAAATGTATATAAATCATTCAATCAATCAAATATGCGTTTAATTTATCAAATTGCAAAATTAAAATCCAAAAGTCATATTACATAGTTCATCGATCTCCAAGCATGGGAAAACTTAGCCTAACATTGAAAATCTAATGGAATACATGAATTCTTGAAAATAAAACATCACTGGATATTGAGATTTGATTAAATCTTGATGTTCTTCGTGAAATATATTGTTGATCTCGCTCAATTTGGTCTCCAAAAAGTGTTTTGTTCTCCTCCAATGCGTTCTGGCCCTAATTCTGACAAGTCTAGACTTTTATATTACGTTTAGATTAGGGTTCCATAAGAATTTCATCACGAAAAGGAAAATGTAGATCTGACCCCGAATTATGTCTATATGACCGCATAGGCTTAACCTATGCAGCCGCATAGGCTAAATAAATTTAGGGTCTCTAGCTTCGGGTGGCACCTATGCGACCGCATAGGTGTCTTTTCTCAGAACATTCATTTTAGTCCTTGAACTTGGTTCTTCACAATCTTGGCCTCGTTTCTTTCTTCTTTTCATTCCCCCCTATTAATGTTAACCTCCAATTGGTACTTGTTTCGATCGAATCTTTGATTGCTCATTTGGTTCATCTTTTGGATATTTGCATGTTGGTCCCTGAACTTTCATTTTGATTCGTTTTAGTCCTTTTTGCTTCTTTTTCTCTTGAATTTCACCATGTCCATCACTATACCCTACAATCGAAGAATTAAACAAATTTAAGCCACAATTCAAACACTTTTCTCGTGATTTAATCATGTTTGTGCATTAAATAAGTGCATTAAGACGCACTTATCAGAGGTAACTTGTAGCATTTTCTAACATTTTTGCAACTATATGATTTTCATTCTTGTAAACTGTTAAAATGTTGATGGATATATAATTATGTACCTGAGATCACATAAATCCTATTTCCCTTGTCAATCTTGCCATGTAAAACATACATATTTGTGTACGTGTTGAAGAATATTTAGTCGAAATACACACAGGTTGTAATGATTTTTTGGAGTTGGGGTCTAAAAGGAAATGAAACATGATTGGGAACTGTGAGTCAATCTGTATCAATTCCTAATGTGTAGCAACAGATTTCAATATTTTGTGCTCTACTTCTTGAGCAATTGGTCATTTTTCGTGTTGTTTATTCACATCTTCAGTTAGAAGATATCACTAAGCTCTGTATTTTTGGAAAAAAAAATCTCGATGCTTTAGCTCCTCCTTTTCTCCTCTATTTATTCACAGAATTGTAATACATGCACACAGAATATTCCAGATTTTCCTATCAGCTGATAACACGTGTCTAACTACCTATATACACATCCCTTGAATTGGGGAAATATACTGCAATATGTTGTTAAAGCTATTAACAGTGTTAACAGCTTACATAGTGGAAATACTCAAGCTTTTTGATCAATCCTAACACCCCATCTCAAGATGGAGTGTGTCTTAACCACTCCAAGCTTGTCCCTAAAGAATATGAATCTTGAATGAGAAAGAGGTTTTGTTAAAATATCTGCAGTTTGATCTGAGGATGGGACAAACTGCACTTCCATTCCTTCTTCAAAACTTTGTCTCTCACAAAGTGGACATCCAATTCTATGTGTTTGGTACAGGCATGATATACTGGATTAGATGCTAGTGCACTTGCACCCAAGTTGTCACACCAAATTTTAGGGATTGCGTTGTGTGGTATAATTAGCTCTTTCATTAGGGATTGAATCCAAGCTATTTCTGATGCACTGTGAACCAACGCTCTATACTTCGCCTCTGTGCTAGACCTTGCAACAACATGTTGTTTCTTAGAACACCAAGAAACCAAACTATCTCCAAGATACACACAATAGCCAGCTGTAGACCTTCTATCATTAGGACATGATGCCCAATCTAAATCTGCAAATGCTATGATGTCTAAACTATCATTTTTCTGGATAACTAAACCATGTGTTAGTGTACCCTTTAAGTATCTAAAAATTCTCTTGAGGGCCTTCCAATAAGCATCTGTGGAGGCTTGAAGAAATTGACTCATTTTGTTTACAGAATAGGCAATGTCAGGTCTTGTGTGTGCAAGTTATTGAAGACCACCAACTGCACTCCTGTAGAGACCTTCATCCTTAGATATCAGTTTACCTACTGCCAAAGGAGTTGGGACTGGTTTCAAGTTTTCATAGTCAAATTTCTTCAGTAAGTCAACCATATATTTTGTCTCAGTTAGGTAAAGGCCTGTGACATCTCTGTAGACTTCAATACCCAAGAATTGATTGAGATTACCCATGTATTTAAGGGCAAAACAAGCATCTAATTTATCAATAAACATCTGCAATTGTTGACCATTGTTTCCTATTATCACTATATCATCTACATAAACCAATGCAAATATGATGTTGTCTTCATTCATTGAGAAAAATAATGAATTATCTGCCTTGGATTGTTTGAAGTTCCACTCAAACAAAGTCTCCTTCAACTTATCATGCTAAGCTCTTGGTGCTTGTCGAAGCCCATAAAGTGCCTTTTCC